GGAGAGCATCACATCAGATGACTGCCGTACAAAAGACTTATTTAAGTCACAAACATCCAGCTGGTTATCCCTCCAAATCTGTCTGTCGCCTGTAAGTTCTTTAAAGAGTTTCCACATACTTGGAGAGTTTTTGCAAGACAAGAGTTTTTGAGTAAACATAGAGTTGAGACGTCTAATCTCTAGGTTTATCAGACCATTTAGCTTACGAACTTCATTAGAGATTTCCTCCTTGTACATTCTTTCTTTCACCCTCTATAGTCGTTTTAGTTGTGAAGATGTAAGTCGACCAAAACTTATAAAAATGGTTTACGTGGGAAAACAAATATCAAAACAGATTTTAAAGTAACAAGTGATAACATCAGTAGTGATTTCCATTGAGTCATCTGTGAATAATTTACAGTTAGTCGTATGAAACATGTTTTTTCAGATTGTAGCGTGGGGTCGAGTCGAGATTGACTATGTACACCGCTACCAAGAAGCTCGTTCCAAATGACTCCATAAAAACCCCGAGAAGCCAAATATCAGAAGGCAGAAAATGGACCAAGTCAAAATTTATTCACTGGCGATCTCGTGGTATCGAAAGGATACCGAGATCGTGCCAGGATACAAGCTTGGTTACAGAAGGTAACCGAATTCGCGCGGAATTACAATCGAAGTGTGTGAACAAGAATGGAAGCACAATATAGCTGTCATTAGCACAGTCAAACAAAAGCACATTAAAATAAACACTGGTACAACTGTTTATAATAATAATTGTTTTTATTGAACCAGTCGTGTTCTCGTAATAAACGTGAGTCACTACAGGAGCCCCCCGCTAGAAAAGGGTTTACACTTTCGATAAATAGCGGTTTAAATCGTGGGACTGATCGGCTGACAAGCGATTGTAGGACGAACGGATTGGCGAACAGGAAAGCGATCGTTGATCGTCGAGTTGCCAACGAAGGTCGTTTTCGGAGAACGGTACCAGGAGCGATGTGCTGTACTTGTTGCTTGAGTTGGCATGCTACACGAGTGGTTTGTATCCAGAATCTGAAGATGGCGTTCGTAGGGAATGCGGACCAGAAACGCTGCAGACGTAGGACGAAACCACGTTGAGCCGGAAGACCAAAAGCGACCGCAAGGACCAAGTTCGAGACCAAGCGTGTGCCAAACATTCAAACCAATATATCGACTGAGTGCGTTGACAAGAGCGTGGGTGATCAGGCCAGCTTTCACCAAGGTTGACTGAAGTCGACGGAACCAAACTGAGGTAGTCGAAGGCGTGGGCACAGGAAACAAAAAGAAATGAAAAAAGAAGAGTGTAGCATGCGTGTAGTATAGGAATAATCCTACACCGTATCGGTTGTTGACTGTGCGGCTAGTCACGAAAGCGTACGGGCTACCGTACTCGGCGACCGGAACGTGAAACAGTAGTCTCGTTCGCGTCGCGTGAGCCTGCAATCTCATCCGAAGTCAAAGGCGGCGTGGTCTGCTGATCTGGACGTGAGACTGTTGTCTCGTCCGTAGACGGTGCAGATGACGCGTGCTGTTGACTGGGACGTGAGAAAGAGGCCTCAGATGTATCTAGCGTGAGACCTGAAGATGGTTTGAGAATCCCGCTAGTAGGTTTGATAGGTCTAGCATTGAATCTCAGGTTATCAGATAGGGCACTGTCATCGACATGTGCTGATTTGAGACGATCAATGCTGACGATCTCGACGCGTCCATATCGATCAACCTTGAAGGTCTTTCCGTGACGAGCGATCACGTGAAAAGAGCCTTCGTAAGGTTGTTGCCAAGGTTTGCGTACCGAATATACTCGTAAGAAAACATGTGAACAGGCAGATAACTCTCGAGGGAGAGCGACCTGTCGATGTTGTATTCGAGTTGACACCGGAGACAGCGTTCGCATAAATGCAGACAGTCGATGGACGTAGTCTGATTTACCGACATCAGGTCTGCTCCGTGGTGTGAAGGATTCTCCGGGCAGACGCAATGTCGTGCCGTATACAAGTTCAGCGGCGGAACATTGGATATCTGCATTTAAGCTCGTTCCGATCCCTAAAATAACGAGCGGTAAGGTTTCGTGCCAGTTGCCGTTTTCGTGTGCTCGTAGAGCACTTTTAAGTGGGCAGTGAAACCGTTCAACTTAACCATTTGGTGCTGGGTGGTAGACGGATATGCTTAAGCGTATGCATTCCGTACCAAGCAGCCGGGTCAGCGAGGAGAATCGAATAAAGCGTGGGATTTACCGTCACGCGAATAAAAAGTGACAAGGATTCGGTGCACATACGTGGGAGTCTATTATATTAATACTATTCTTATCGTTATCCGTCATGTCGAGTATATTATGTGTTAAAAGATAATATGAAAATATACGACAGACGTGGATAGATAAATAATAGACTCACCGAACTGACTTCTTTGGAAGATTTCACCAGAGGTTGAGGCGTGTTCCAAACTTTGGGATCACCAATTGTAGCGTGGGGTCGAGTCGAGATTGACTATGTACACCGCTACCAAGAAGCTAGTTCCAAATGACTCCATAAAAACCCCGAGAAGCCAAATATCAGAAGGCAGAAAATGGACCAAGTCAAAATTTATTCACTGGCGATCTCGTGGTATCGAAAGGATACCGAGATCGTGCCAGGATACAAGCTTGGTTACAGAAGGTAACCGAATTCGCGCGGAATTACAATCGAAGTGTGTGAACAAGAATGGAAGCACAATATAGCTGTCATTAGCACAGTCAAACAAAAGCACATTAAAATAAACACTGGTACAACTGTTTATAATAATAATTGTTTTTATTGAACCAGTCGTGTTCTCGTAATAAACGTGAGTCACTACAAGATTTTGGATATTTGCTTCTCAGTAATTCCTATATTTGACTTTCTTGGTTTGATGTAAGAGTGTACTCTTCTCATGCTTTCCATTTATCTTAGGTAGAACACGAATAATACAGTGATCCGAGCTAGACAATGGGGCACGTTTACGAATCGCATATATACCCACATCATTAATGAAAATGAGGTCTAAATGAGCATCCAAACGAGTAGGAAAATCTACTACATTTTGGTGACCTAGTGACGTAAAGAAGCTAAAGTCACATGAATTGAAAACACCACACACAAGTGAGAGTGAATCACTGAAAGCAGTAACAGCGAACTCAGTGAATTCATCAGCAAAAACAGATAACACAGATGATGTGCAGTCTGGATTCACGTAGATATTAGTAACATAAACATATTTGTATTTATTCAGATGTTTTCGACGACATCTAAGAGTTAGACAGTCGATAAGGTCATTTGAGAACTTACAACACACAAACGCAGATCGACACCAGTTTACGCTTACAAACGTACCTACACTGCCGTCACACGTCTTTTTATTGTTTGATCGATCCTGACGATAAATTTTGAAATCACGTATTGATACTAGGCAGTTGTCCTGTAAATCATTTAATCAAGTGTAAGATCCAAACTAAAGTTTGGACTGAAGAATAGCTGTTTAGGTGAGTTAGATACGCGCCCTTACCCGGCTGAAGCCAAAACAAAGTAATTGGGTAAAGTGACGGTTCTATAATTCATCATGAATTTAAATGCACATCGTTACCTAAACAAATATGACCACCAAGCTATCCAACCAATAATTGTCCAATTATTCAAATCTAAATTACAATAAATAAGAAAGTTGATGATACATGCAAGAAAAATACCAATCAAAACAAATAAATGTTGTTCTATCCTGTCTGGACAGACCACGCACAGATTTTTTCTAAAGATAATATCTGGTTGCTTTATAACATAGAGTGTTTCCAACTCTGGAAGAATGCCTCAATTCACAATCAAAAATGCACAATTCCAGTCAATACAAGCAACGCAATTAAAAGGAGGAACAAACCAATATGGCTGCCACCAAGACTAAGTACCAAGTAAAACAACATAAATGCAGTTCAGGAAGAAACACGGAAACTTAGTGAAGGCGTAAAAAAAAATGAAAACTATAATAAAATACAAATATTAACAACTCAAATAGAATCAAAAAGACTAACAATGTACAACTAAAGGAATCAATAGGAACAAAGTGCAAATGTATATATGGAGGGATTTTCACACACAAAAGATTCAAAATCGGTCTTGTGATGACACTGCGTTTACGATACACATTTTGACTTAGTAGGAGTTGCAGATAGTCCACTTTGTTGATTAGTGATCGGCAGTTAGAATTCAGCAGCTCGGGAATCGAAATACGATTAATGTTCATTCTCTTTAACGCATATTAATATGAAATCATCCAAACTATAATAAAGATCAAGCTCATTTAGGACTCGTACTTGGCATTGAACGAGTTTCCCACAAGAAACAAATGCATTATGAGAACAAATAACATTTGGTATGAAATCATTAGGATTTGGTACTTCTGGAATATATTCCTCAAATTCATTAAGAGTTTCATCGGTGATTAATGGACCATTAGGAAAACCAGCATCTAACAAAATCCTATCAGATTTGTGTTCATGATTTGATTCATTCGGCATATCTTCCTCACTTTTATCGGAAAGTTCATCAGAAATATGTGCATCATTAAAACAACTAATATCTGGTGAACTAACATGAGAAATCTGATAAGTTTGACTTTAAAATAGACCACGATTTAGTCCCGAAATACCCAAGCAGTACTTTGAAGAAACTTTAGACCATCAACGTAGGTGGTTGATGTTGAATGGTTGGGGGTTTAATCAAGTAAGATCAATCAGCTAACGTCGAAGTCATACCTCACGGTTAGCACCTAACGTGGATTACGCCTTCATTGTATCCAGGTACTATGGCTACTTTCATAAACGTACAACACAAACGACGGTATTACAGAAATATATTAATATGAGTATTACAAGGAGCGGAGTGCGACCACTGCTGCATGGGCCAGTTCATGACATGCAATTAACTGATGCACACGGGTTGTATTTGACCTTAATGAGGATAGGTGAACTGTTCGAAATTCAGTGACCCGACTGCCGCATGATTCGGTCAGAACGCAATGACATTTTGCTGGTCCTACAAAAACTTTGGTTGCTACAAGCACATATAGATCGTGAATGTAGGTAACCTGTATTGATGGTCCGTTTACTTGGTCCAGTCGGGTATGGCGTTTCCTCCTAGTTTACTTCGAAGTCGCACCTTGTGGTTGAAATTTAACCAAGCTTATCTTAACGTGGTATACATGTAAACCGTCTCACTTGGTGACATACTATAATAAGTAGCCTAACAGGGACAACATCATGTATTATGAAGATAAACTGTAGAAATACAGAGTTGGACCAATGCTCTATGCTTCAGTCCATGACGTGCCAACGAATAATCTTCGTTGGTCACTCTTGATCCTGATGATGTTCAGCATCCAGTTCGGCGTTCAGTGATCGATCACCCATCTTAGAAATGCCTTAGCCTGGTGTATGACTTGGCCAGACTCGGTGACACCTCACAGACAATGAACACAATAAAGTATTGTGTTTTGATTGGAACTAGGCTTCCAGTCATGACGAAACTGATAATAATTTTGTGCAAAAGCTACATGTGGTACATTTATTCAGCCATTTCACTCCCTATTTATAGTTCTGGTGTTGACGCAAATTATTCTTGTAATAATATTACGCATTTAGAGAGATAAACGCGCCCTAAGTATTTAACCAGTGTTATTCGAACTGATCGGGAGACCCTGAATTTTGTAAGACTTCATCAAATAAGGTTATCTCATCTGTGTGTTGTAATTCAACAAGTGAGTAATTTGGTGGAAAATTAGTCTCTAAAAATACAAACAATGAGAGCGCTGTCTCCGAAAAGATGTTCATAACGAAGCCAAATAAGAGTGGGTAGGGTAAACAGCCTCAACGAACACTCTGGTATTGTCGATTTCGACTGCAGTTTTCCATAATCTATGAACACACTAAGTGCTTATGTAAAGAGACTATACAATGTTGTGTACTTTCTTTTCCTCACCACTTATGTTTATTAATATTATCTTCAGCATTCAACTGCTACAGAACAGTCTAGTTGATCTTCTCTGCCGATCACAAGCTAGGGTAAAGGAGGAGGGTTGAGCGTGGGGTTGGCAACTCAGTGCTGTAGAAAAGGTCTTGCTAAAAAACATACGGACCAAGCGCACAAAAAATACACGGACATAGTCAACAAGACCACAGATAGCTCGGGCACGCAGGAGGGTCATAGAATTCCTGGCCATGATAAAATGACTGAGTTAATGGATAAAGTTGTTTATTAAAATAGATTGCATAGAAATATACGAGGACCACTGCAGGTGTCTTTCGTTTAACTTAAGACTTGGTATTTTAATTACACTCTTTGTCTAGTAAGGTCATTTATATTTACATATGTGCAATTATACGAAGAAATTCGAGAACGTTTCCATAAGTAATTCCCCAAAAAGCTGTAGCGTGGTGTCGAGTGGAGATTGACTATGAACACCACTACCAAGAAACTCGTTCCAAATGACTCCATAAAATCCCCCGGAAGCCAAATATCAGAAGGCAGTTAATGGACCGAATCGAGATGTATTCGCTGGCGATCTCGTGGCATCGAAAGGATACCGAGATCGTGCCAGGATAGAAGCTTGGTTACAGAACGTAACCGAATTCGCGCGAAGTTACAATCAAAGTGTGAGAATAAGAATGGAAGCACAATATAGCTGTCATTATCACAGTCAAACAAAAGCACATTAAAACAAGCACTGGTACAGTTGGTTAATAATAATAATTGTTTTTATTAAACCAGTCGTGTTCTCGTGATAAATGTGAGTCACTACAAAGCCTTTGCACCGCAAATCGAATTCAAGTGATAAAAAAACCCATTTGAAACTGAGAAATAGTGGACAGGGATTGCATCCTAGTTTAATTATTAAACTACACACAACCATCTATAACTACTATCAAACACGTTGCTGTTAGATACCATTTTTAGTAAATATTTTATTACCAATATTATTTATTGAGATATACCCACTTCACCTAGTATCAATAAAAATTAAGTTCAGCACTTTAAAATATCCAGCTAAATGTATCTCCAATAATCACAAGGTTAAGGTCGTTTATCGACTAACCAGTGAGTATCAATAAACTGATTTATTGAAAATTTTAAAACTAGTAAGTATTCACTTAATAATAACGTCAATACGTTAGATGCAACTTAAAGTAAGTAAGTAATAATTAAACCATTTCTTATTCATATTAATATCAAATGAAAAGCTTTAATCATTTGTGATGATTAGGAGTAGTTAAAATATTAGTACAAACTAAGAACAAACGTATTGCATTTATAATTCGGAATCAAACAGTCATCAAGTGCAAAGGAATCGTTAGTTCACACAAACACCACACCCGCCACAGCTTAAATCGGAATCTAAGTTTCTGTAACCGATTGTACGTCTTCTCCTTAATTTCATCCAATGTCTGTTCAGTAGTGTATTGGATATAGACTCTACACTAGAATGTACTCATTAGTATTAGAGTCAATAACTGAAATTGGAACGTACTCGTCTGTGTCCTGGAATTGTATACAATCACCATGTCGGTTTTGTAGTGAAGCCACAGGTATCCAGAATTTGTATGATAGACTTTCCAACATTATCCTCCTCCACGAAATAATGTTGGGTTCTTACGTCACAATGTTATGAACAATGTGACGTTCCTAATTTGAATTATCTTCAAATATCTCACGCATCAATTATTACATTATTACATATCTGAGGAAACTGGTTCTCTGACTACTTCAAGAAAACTTGTTATTTCCTCTGATTTATCATACCACTGACTAGGGATTCTGCTCAACACACATTGGCTGCGAGAATATCTAACATCTGATGCAATAACATCAGGAATGTGACTAGAATTCGACTCACTCGGGATATATTTGTCACATTCATTAGGGATATCACTAGAGATAAATCCATTGTGAGAACAAATGACGTTTGATATGAAATCAGAATTTGATTTTTGTGAAATATTTTCCTCAAATTTATTAAGAATTTCATTAAACAATTATCGATCATTACAAAAATCAGCATCTATCAAATCTGCATCAGGTTTTCGGTCATGATGTGATTCATTCAACATATTTTCCTCAGATTTGTAAGAAATTTAGTCAGAAATATGTGAATCATTAGGGAAAAACCATATCCGGTACAATAACATGATAAATCTGATAATTTGGTTGATTAGAAACACAATGATTCTGAGTTTCATCTGACTCTGGACTGCCATGTGATTCTATACCGCTTTTCGAAGTGTGGATAAAGATGAATGACTATTAGAAACACCCAAATTAATGGGATCACAATTACAAATTTTAGCATTAGTTGCAGTCAAGTGAACCGTAGTATCACAAACGGACTGAATGTGTCCAATCTCACCACATTTAAAGCATTTCGAATTACAAAACGCACATGAATTACATGGGTGAAACTTGTCACAGAACACGCATTTACCAAACTTGTGCTCATCTTCGTGACCTTATTCGCAACTTCTCAATGAATCGTTATATGAATAACATTGATTACGCTTTGGACTGGGACGAAGTATTAAAGTAGTGAGATTCCTGATGTCTTGATGAATCATTTTATGAAATTTTTCTTCTTTACTGCATTCGAAATTCGTACACTTTACATGGTCTAGTAGTAGTTGTTTGAGAGTTGTATAAGGGAGCGAAATCGACTTGTCTGGAAATGCCAAAGTTTTGATTAAGCTATATGCTTCTTTTCCGGTTAATATTAACATCGTCAACATCTTCCTTGTTCACGAACGAACGTATTGCATTTGGAATTCGTAATCAAGCAGTCATCAAGTACAAAGAAATCATTAGTTCATACAAATACCACATCACCTTTCATTATCAAGTGTTTCGAGTATCAGATGAAACGCTCAATTCAGAAATTATTATAAAGTTTAAACTCTTACCAACTAGGTTGGTCTCATAACATTTCTTATTTGTGACAATTTGAAATGAGGAGAAAATGATGGCTAAACCTAATTAAATCATCATTATTGTATAACATTTGAAACTGTCTCAAATAGCTAGCATGTAAATTCACGATTTTGTAAATACTGTTTCAATGTACGTTAAATGATGGTATGGTTTTGTTTATTCAAATAGACATGAAAAGTGTTGATATAAGTGTTTTACGCGCAATCACAACTCAACAAAAACGTTTGAGTTTAAGTGATAAAAAACTTTATCATTTACCATACAACATTGAATTTCTTAACTGGCTTGTAATATTAGATCTACGTTCAAATAATTTATCTGATCTGCCAATTCTACCAAAGCATGTGAGTTTGTCCCTTTCATTGTTTAATATTCTCTATTAATTTATTTATCAGCTACAATCGATTAATTTAGGTCACAACTGGTTTACAACAATACCTAATTCTGTATTTGAATTGACGTCACTCAAATCAATCAGCATGTATAGCAATCAACTTCAATCTATTCCAAGTATACTTTTCGGTAGTTGATATCTACTAAATAACTTAAATTTTTTATAGAACGTTTGGTTAATCTTGAATACATAAATTTCAATCATAATTGCATTAATGCACTAAATGACTCAATATCCAAGTTTAAAAAATATCATTAATTTACTTTGTTTAGTTTAGCCCATTTGAAATACTTGTCGAGTTCTCATAATAAATTGACGACACTACCAGAGTCAATGTGTTCAATGCTCAACAAATTAGAATATTTAAATCTAGGTTATAATCATATTTTGACATTGCCATTTAATTTTGGTCTACTACAAAATATGAAAACACTTCTTTTACATAAGAACTTTTTAACACGATTACCTGAGGTAAGTAGTGTGATATTTATTGAGAGAATTTGGATTTTAGACATTCGGGCAACTGAAATCACTAACAGTTTTAGACTTGGCTGGTAATAACTTACAACTTTTACCATCCAACGTAAGTCACTTTATAAAATGGGGGTTATTTTATGAGACCACACTTTATGATGAAATTCGCTTTTATTACTATTCAACAACTGCTGTAGAATTATAAACAGTTAGCGAGATTAGTATATCTGTTTCATCTTAGTACTGAACTTTTACGAAGTCTAAATCCATGACGCATCATAGGATCTAATCCGGAACAATCACCATTTATTCTCACAACTAAGTCGAAGTAAACGGTATTAATTTTCAACTTCTGTCAATCTGAAATGTTACTTTAACATCATTCAGTGAGGAATGATAAAAGTTGGTAATATGAATCGTTGCACTGGTTTGAAAGCACTGTGCTCTCCATAACCCGGAATGTCCTAGATTTGATTTTATGTAGAGTTATTAATCTACAATTCTAAGTAGTCCGACAACGAAGTAATTGTCACATATATACTTGTTCTTAATCATTCTCCAGATGACGTCAATTGATGATAATAAATGCTAACTTCAAACCCAAATAATCTTCAATCAAAGTTCAGTCTGAATAAATTATGTTTTGTTTTTCTGTAATTCCAGTTTACACAGTTGAAATTAAAGGAATTCTACGCTGAAGCTAATCCATTCACACGAAACGCTTTATTTACTTCAACGTATAAAGAAAATGTTTTAACATTGAAAGTAGACTGTTTGATATTCACTTTATTTTGATGCAAACATTTTTTTCGTATAGGAAATTGCCTTACGAAAATTATCCCGTTTAGGATTTATTGAGTAATATTTAACTTCATCTAAAATGTATTATTCATATTTTTAGTATTGGTGTTAGCAATCCTTGGTTAGAAAGTATTATAGGACCAAAACAATGGCAAACAGCTGGATTTTGTGCTCTATGTAAAAATCCATTTGTAACTTGGTGGTTAGAAAGTGTCCGATTTATCAATCGTAAAGAATTAGTAGGTTTTAATGTAATCAGTTCATTCATATCTATTATCTAAACAACTTTCTTTGCAATCTAGGATAGTTGGTGTTGAGAAATTGTAAGAAGTTTACACTGATGTAGTTCGTGGTCAAAAGCGAATGTGAACCATAACAGAGACGAGATCACTGGTCACTGGTCTAAGTGACTTAACACTGTTTACACTGTATTTTGATGTAAGGGGGTTGATGATAATCGACAAGAAACTCTAAATCTCCGTTTTCGTGCTAGTTGGCGCCTATAAGCAAGCTGTAATTTCGATCTTGAGGAAAGTAGTTCCTCCAGTGTGATTCCGACTCGAGCTAGTCACAACATGGATATATGTGTAGTAAGCACACAAGTTTTGAAACTGCGTGACATGATTTATAATCCCACTGAGAATATGAGTTCTCTAAATATTGAAGGTATTTCTTGCCGATGATTCCTAACCAACACGAAAACTAGATTCAGAAATTTCCCTGCTGCCTCCGACTACTTCTCTTACAGACTTATGACGGATTTGAAACTTTGTTAAATAGAATTTTTTCGATAGACTTTATGGTATGACGTAGAATACGGCATATATGTATGATCGAATTAGTATATGGTTTCGTTATTTTAGCAAAATAAATTTTGTTCAAATCGACATCTTGATATTGATCTCAAAGGCTACCAAGGACAGTCTCAGACAATGTGATTAGAAGTTAAAATTGGACTGGTTAAAAGTTTACTCACTGACTGATTCCGTGAACGACCCTCAAGTGATATATTTAATTACTTATCATAGACATACTGTATATTTTATGAAATATTTAGTTATATTTAATACTGTTATTTGCAGAACCGCATAACTACTTTATAAATCTAGTAGAATAAAAATTTTCTTTGGTTGGTTTTATTTGTAGAAATTATCATAGTTTGAAAATAGTTCCAATCACGAAAAGAATGTTAGCTGAAATACGGTTGAAAATAGAGTGGGCAATAGGCACCAATTCTATTTTGTTTTCGACTCCTCAACAATACGCACTCGTCAAAACACACAAAATCGGACTCGAAACCAACACGTTTCAAAGTGAATATGATGCTTTACACCTTCAGAATATTAAGTACAGTTCCAAACTTCATGTAAACTAGTTCTCAGTTAGCTGCGAGAAACCGCTTTACCTATGGCTATGGAGATTTTTTGCTTAGCAAAATACAGCTTTACTTAATGGGCTTTAACAGATTTAACGTTATAATTGATAAGCGCTTGCATAATTCACATGGATTAATGGGATAATGTAATAAACTTTCTCGTAAGATCACTCAGATGACGTAACATTACGGATTAAAAACAGAGGTACGGAAATATTTACTTCAGTTGTCAATAGCTTAAATTTTTAATATCTAATTAAACTATGTCTCATTAATAATCCATTTCAAATCGATATAAGTCAGGATGTTTTACAACTTTGTTTCTTTGTTTTACTTTCACTTTCTTTTCCTAAAAATATAGATTATCTCTAAAAAATCTCAGTTGAACAAAGCATCTCCAGAAGTATTATATCCGTTAAGGACTTTATTTTGCAGTTATCACTGCTTAAATTCAAGTAAAAATTGTTACGAATTAAGTGTTGGTTAATGTTTCGTCGTAACGAATTTACTCCTAGTGATGACGAAGAAAATTTCAAGCTCAGAAGGAAGATTTAGTGTCATGTGTACAATTGAACTGGATGCTTTATTCATGAAGTATTCACTGCCTTCCTAGGCAATATCATCATTAAATTCTTCTATAATATGTAACTTGTTTCAAAAGTATATGCTGATGTTATTGTCCAGAAAGACACTGAAAACTTCATAACTAAATCATACAACTCATTGAACACAACACTTTCAAATTAATGTCAGTGGTACCATTTGTGACATTATCTTTTATTGTCCCCTTTACGAAGAAATTTCAATTCATGGAACCAAGATTTAATCCCATGGTTTCTTTATCTCAGTCATTCGTTTATTGCAAATGTAATCACTGCTTTACAAGTTATTTTATTTATAATTTCGATTATGTGTTTCGAGTTTTCCAGAGTTTCTTCTCCCAAAATGCTTCTTTTAAAAATAAAATTAACATATAGTAAAAATGAATAAAACTAGTTTTAAAAAAATTAATATATATATATATATATATATATATATATATATATATATATATATATATATATAAACACCAAATTTAACTTTTTTGAAAAAAGATTGTTGATTAAAACAAAATACAAGTCCCAGATTAATTCAGTGTGAATTGAAAAAATTCGTAATGCGCTAAAAACTGTGAAAAAAGATTATCATTCATAAATAATAAATACATTTTTGTTATATCAGTCAGTCAGTCAGTCAGTAACAACGTAGAGCTTCGTACGTACGTACAGCAGTTCGAGTTGCCACACCACATTAACACAGAGATGCAGTTGTCGATCCAAATCCCGTAGTGGTAGAGGTAGCAAGAGTGTAAGCAGTGATCGGGAAGATTAGGGTTCAAAGATGTTATTTAAATAGTATAATTCAGTGAAATAAATTTGGAGAGAGGAAAAAAGGGATATGAAGAATCCAGAAGATTAGAATTTGGGAGAGTACAAAGAGTGGATGCACCTGCGCCATTGCAAACGATTTTGAGCCATGTCATTCAGGGTCTCTAACCATCGGTTGCTATCATCTCGCGGTCCCCAACCAGGTAGTCTACACCTACCAACATGACTCAGTCTACTTGTCAATGACTTCATGGACTTGTGCCATGTTTTGGTCTGGCCGCCCCTACCTTTCTTCCAACCTACTCCTATACCACTGAACATCGCAGGTCGAGGCACTCGATCGTTGGGCATACGTAACACGTGTCCCAGACATCTCAACTGATGAAGTTTCACTACTTCATCAATTGATTTGCCATACTTACCTAGTACCCGTTTCCTAACACCTGCGTTACTTACTCGATGGTCCCAGGATATACGAGCAATGTTTCGAAGACACCTATGATCGAATACTAGTAACCTACGAATATCCTCTACTCTTATCGGCCATGTTTCACTGCCATAAAGTAGGACGGGACGAACTGCTGCGCAGTAAACACGTCTTTTGGTTGATAGACGGATATCTCGCCTACGCCATAAATGACGCAAGTTAGCAAAATCTAGTCGAGCCTTCTGTATCCGTGCTGAGATTTGGTCACACACCAGACCACACGGACTGATGAGACTTCCAAGATAAGTGAAGCGGTCGACACACTCAATTACTTCACTCCCTATCACTAGTTCGGGGGTCGATGTAACCCAATCCTGAAGAAACACTTTGCATTTCGAGAGAGAGAATCGCATCCCGAACATGCTTGCATTGTTGCTTAGAGTGGTCAGAAGACTCTGCATTTTGTCACCAAATAAAACTATGTCATCAGCATATTCTAAGTCAACAAGTGAACATCCCGGTAGAAGTTCAACCCCTGGAAATTTAGATGAGGAGAGTGTTATCTCTAAAAGTACGTCGACCACAAAGTTGAACAAGAATGGAGAGAGTGGACAGCCCTGACGAACACCACTTGATGTAATCAATTCTGATGACAGTTCGCCATAAGCTCTCACTCTACCAGTTGTGTTCGAGTAGAGAGCCTGAATAAGGTTAATGCACTTCTTTGGTACTCCTTTCAGTGACAAACACTGCCATAGAACCTCACGATCAACAGAGTCGAATGCCGCCTTAAGGTCGAGAAATACTACCATTGTGGGGCGTCTGAATGTGTGTCTGTGTTCTAGAACCTGACGTAGTGTGAATATCTGATCTATACAACCACGTCCAGGTCGAAAACCAGCCTGATTTTCTCTAATCTGCTCTTCACGAGCTTTGATTAGGCGTCGAAGTATTATTGAGGCTAATATTTTAGACACTATATTAGTCAAACTGATTCCTCTGTGATTGTCACAAGAGGACTTTTGTCCTTTCTTATTGACTGGCACAATCAGTGATTGAGACCAGTCAGATGGGATTACGTCCAGTTCCCAAATTCTACCTAAGACCTCAGTTAATCTCACTGCTAATACTGAACCACCATCCTTATAAATCTCATGCATAAACCTGTCAGGGCCTGCTGCTCTCCCTCGTTTCAGATTTCCTATGGCTTTTTCAACTTCGTAAAGGGACGGAGGACTTATATTAACTTACAATTCTGGTTGACTAGAGATCGTGGGAAACCGAAGTGTGGCTGAAGGCCAGTTGAACTGATCCCTGAAGTGTTCTGCCCATCGATCCAATCCCCTGGATTGAGAATTAATAATATGTCCATCTTTCTCTGAGAGTGTTTCGCTAACGGTCGGGTCCCGTATTCCGGTTTCCTTAACGAGTCTGAACAATTGTCTGCTATTACCTACTGCCGATGCCTTTTCCATCTCTCTTGCTTTCGCTACCCACCACTGTTCACGATCATTGCGTAGACTTCTTGTCAACTTGCGCTTAAGTTGACTCCGCTCTTCATTATGTTCAGAGCCAGGTGGAATGAGTTTCCGAGCATCTATCAGTGCGATAGATGCTGCTGAGATCCAGTGTTGCTCCCTAACCTTACAGGTTACCGTACTAGCAGATGTCACTGCTGTTTCCACAGCTTTTCGGATATCATTCCATGCTGCATCGGGGTGGGCAGCACATACATGGTTACCTAACTGTTTTCCTAGTTGTTCATGAAATATACTCTTAGCTTAAAGGGTCGCCATGTTAAAAGATGTTTTTCCTTATGCTTAAAGTTAGTATTTGCAAGGAACAGGCGATTATCTGAGCATAGCTGCAACAGACGGTCGCCATTATCTGTTCTTTTAGCCACGACACCATAAGATCCACCTAGGTGTCTTTCCCTATCGCTTAGTTTACCTACTTGAGCATTAAAGTCACCGGCCACTATTACTACATCAGAGCGCCTAGCTTTTCGGAGAAGGTCGGAAAGCTTTCTGTAAAACTCATCTTTTACATCATCTGATTTAATTTTATTTACTCATTGGGATATAATTTTCGTTATATCCCAATGAGTAAATAAAATTAACTCAAGTTTAAATAATACAAAGGTTGTCTATTTATCCCGAAGAAGTGGCTTACATTAAGTCACGAAACATCAGTTATAAAACTGTCTACTCATTGTGATATGACAAAAATACATTTATTATTAATTTAATTTATTTAAAACTATAAAATCCAACCTTCGCGTTGATACCCGCATTATTATTCATTGTTTGTCCCATAAAATACTAGTATTGTACCAAATATGTCCTCAAACTAAACGACATCCATTTTATTTGAATCCCATTCAAGATAATCACTGGAAATAAATTACGTTCATATTCTCCTTTTCAGTACTGATCAAAACTCGATAGTCATGGGTCGAAAGCATAATAACCTCGTGATGTCGGAATACAAATTAAAATTGTTTTAATAAGACATCTAAGACAAACTAAGACGTGTGTACATTTTAGGCATACAAAGTTTTAATGCATTTGATCGACTAATTTTTCGACACTGCTTTAACCTAACTTTTGGATTTAAAAAGAAAAGACCATTTCAAGGTAAAGGTCGATTGTTTGACTTCATTATAACGGATACTTGGTAAATTGACTCCAATCGACAAAACAAATGACCAAATAGTGATAAATCAATATTTACCTAGTTGTCAATAAAAATGTATTGCATTTGTTCCACATGGACTGTCTGCGCTTGGCAGTTTGATAAAAAAATATCTCTCTTCGTTTCTCATTTCATATGCCTTCAGTTTTTAATTATCATCTTTTCTTATGGGTAAAACATTGTTCTGAGGCTAGTCAGAAAACGTTTATTATGTATAAGTAGTTGTTAGCAACCCATGATTTTGTTAAAAATTCATAGTTATAAATGTTACGTGAAACGTTTTCCAGAAACGTGGAAAATATTAGTAAAACATGACAAAACTTACAAATTACTTAATCAGTTAAAACGAATATTCACCTGTTTAATCTCAATAAATGGTTACGATTGTTAATGAGGTTAGGTTGAACCCATGATAATTGCTATGTTACGAATGAATAAGATTATTATAGTATGAACTTAACTTTATATCGATTGACACAAAACAGCAATTCAATATTATTAATTCACACTCTAGTATGAGAGAGAGAGACAAAATGGGACTTTGGGGATAGCTTTATATTGGGAATCAAAACTGAAAATTGAAATGATAAGATTCAAAATCACTATTTAAACGTGATCAAACCATCTATTTAGTACACAGTTACTTTTCATAGACCCTATGTATATTCAAAAAAATTGAACTTGATTGTTTCCTTGAGAGGGCTCAAATCAGAATCCTAAACAAAATGCTGTATTTGTCTCAAATTTTAGTCACTGAGATTTTTAAAAATATAGTTCCTTTCCTAATGTCTTCCGTACAACTGGGGCCCAACTATCGTGAAACGATTTATCCAAGTTTGAACGAAAGTTCTTACAAGATATTAATTTTGTTGTAGGTTTGTAATGCATACACAAATTTTTTGTGTAATAATTCAAACCATAGCAAATGGTCAATCACATCATTTTATAGTGCAGTATTCGTGGAGATCGTTAAAATTTGTAAATAATGACAGAGAGGGACCATAATCCAATCCTGTTTGTGAGTCTTACAGTCAAAATAGTTACTGAAAATCATAATTATGATTAATTAAAAATATGCTGACGAAATCTTTCAAGAGGCATTTCATGCTGCTAAACTTCTTTCATCCTATCATTTGTGGATGTATAAGCCATGTACTACTTACATGGTCAGTATCAATCTGTTTTTACAAGTTTAATTAAAAGACTAATATTTGAACGAAGAATATTCTTTTCGATAAATTCTCTTCAGGTTCTACAGTTATATATC